AAAAAAAAGTTGAAATAAAGTGATTAAACAAAAATTATTACAAATATCGTAAATAACAGTTCACAAATGCATATATAGAGATATTTTTTGGAGGGGGGAAATGGTCTTCACAATTTGAAATGGATCGAACACACAGTGCTCGAATGCTCGTGTAAACTCGCGCCATCTATCGTAGGATAAATGTACTTCGCGGGAGTGTATTAAAAAACTTTCCAAAGTTTCATGGCAATCGTACTATGCCACAAACCTTCGCTGGAGTATATTAAACAACTTTCCAAAGTTCCACGGCAATCGGATAAACGGTGTGGTAATGTATGAAGGGCACACACAGACAGACAACACACATACATTCATTTTTATATATATAGATGAATTTATGTATTACGAATTATTCTTATCACTACAAAAAACTTTCGTAGTATTAAAAGCATTAAGCCTCTTACCTCTTTCGATTTTATAACCAGAATGACTCCAAATAGTGGATCCGTTTGTGTTGTTAGTAGGAATTGGTTCTCTTTTAATATTTATCTGAAATAATAAAATATTACGTAATATTATTACACAGATTCACCTTTATAGAAAAACACATGAACAATTATTTAAAGTAGAGCATAAAAGTACGCTTACTAAATGTTTTTTAAAAAATATGGCCTACTTTCTACTTTTCTTTTTATAGTAGTTCCTATCATCTATTTAACACCTTTCAAAGAAAAATTTTGAATTCCAAACGTGAATTCAGGTTTTCAGCAGATATACGTATACAGTTTATCAGTACTTCTTGCCCTATTAAATGAAGCTGATACTATATGAATATGTAAATTATAGTTTATTAAGAATCGGGGTGCAATTTCAAAAGACTTATAAATACCCACTTTCCTTAGTCTGTACTACTGTTTGACAGTTTTTTCTAAATATCGACAACAGAGTTAGACAGCTAAAAGCCGAAACCACATATGCTTAGAGGCAATCGGAAATTCTTGTATACAAGAACTTCCGATGCAAATCGAAAGTAAAGTTGTTTCAATTCAGAAAGTTTCCTCTGAAAGAAGTTAAATACGTAAACGTCACAACTCATATAAACAGGGAAAGTATAACGTACAAGGGAAGCCACTACTAATTTCAGGTGAAGGGCATATATTTTAAATTAAATAAAAAAATAATATAATCAAAAATTGCAGCCCGGCATTGTGAGGATGTCACAATAAATATCTTCTCGTTGATTGTCTTTTCTTTTTTGAACTTCTCTTACTTTCGTGTCTTGTAGTGCGTGTAACAACCGAAAGTATAAAAATCCTATCAAATTTGTCCGTCAGCTATTGGAAATCTCCAAGTTTTAAGACTTCCTCAACCCAAACAAATGTTTAAAAATATAAAGATTTTACTTATTATTACATATTAAAATTTTTAAAAATACAATTTATCTTTAATCTGAAAATTAAGCTTTTTGCCATTTTATAACAACTAATAATATGAAATGGTTTTTGAATAAAATTTCCTAACAGATGGTGCCACACACAATTTTTTTTGCCGGAAATGTTACGCAACTCGTTGCCAGATTTTTTCGATGAGAGATAACTTCAGATTTCTTATTTTGTGATAATCAATCTCTCGATCATCGTGAATCTCCAAAAGACTTCATCGAAAATGGAGATCTCGAGTCGAGTTCTACTACTGCTTGGCCTGACGGGACTTAAAAAGTCCCAAATACATTTTAACCTCATACAGCTTAAATATCATACATTTTACAAATACAATACACTAAACTCCAACTACACATATGAAATATAAATTTATAGATACAAAAGTAGATACATTTAAAATATTATGTAGAATTAATATCTCAGAATGGATTGAAAATTAAGAAACGAAATTTGGCAGGATAACTTCTGTATAGAGAGCATTGATGCTAAATTTTTTAAAAGAAACATCACGTGTAATATGTCGAGTGAGGATCGGACTTAATCAAGATTTTGTTTGTTGTTACCGTTTGCACTTGTTTATAAAACTTATCTCTACCTCCAAAATTAAGCATTATGTCATTGCATAATAATAAAAGTATAGAACGTTTTTATATAACAAAATCTTAAAATTTCGTTACTTCTGTAATATTTATTTCTAATGATTAATAATATAAAAGTTATTCTTTAAATACAATTTTTTAAGAATCGGGAAAGTTACGCATCTCATTGTTAGATTTTTTTATATAATACATATTATTATGTTTAATACAGAAAACACGTAAATTTTAAGCATAATTTTACATTACTGTTATTGAGATACGTTTTCAACTACTCACAAGTCTAAGTAAATATTAAAATATCACTAAAAGTGTGTAAAATATTTTGAAATTTGTATTACTTACTAATAATACCTTTTCATTATCATCTGGGAGATGAACAACTTCTTTACAATCTTCCCTCTTTACTTCAAATTTCAATTTCTTCAAAACAACTTTACATTCTGATTTTATACCTTGTTTTATATCATAATTCTCTTTTACTTCTTCTTTCTTGATATCTGTAGTGGAATTTTCAAAGTTCTCGTGTTAAAAATTTAAAGAAAAAACTTGTATTACAAAATAGAACTGAGTATATTTTCATTAATTAATTAACTAATTAATTAATGAAAATATACTCAGTTCTATTTTGTATGAAATTATTAAATCTGAGATGATAATTAATTAATTAATTAAATATCTTCTCAGATTTGACAACAATCTCTAGATTGTTTAGCCTATATTAAATATCGTGTTAGTCGACGAGCGAGACAATTATTATCATGTTGTTTCGGTTATTGTGCAGGTGTCCGCACAATAACCGAACACGTGCAGCTAAAAAAGGGTGAGAAACGCCGCTTATTATTTCTATAACAAACACGTGCTACGTGCAGCTAAAAAAGGGTGAGAAACGCCGCTTATTATTTCTCTTAAACCTCCGTTCTTGCCTTGTTGATTTTATCGTTGATCGAATTTATCGGTATAGACTGTGACATTTAACCCGGAAAGAGAGTTTCGATCGTTGATTGTAGACTATCCCTTTTTTCTGTACAATTACTAGGGTTAGGAGGAGAACAATACTAATTTAAACAATACAAAAAAGGGGGCAGAATATCACACACCTTGCAATGTAAATTTTCGAATGTCCTTTTAGCATGGTTTGTCTTGAATGGCTTCCTACATATATGGCATAAATAGGTATTTTCATGTTTAATAATGCAGTATCTGGCTAAGAAACTTGTACAGTATTAGCGTAACCTTTTTTCATATGTGACAAACATACTTTTTTCTATCGCTATGAATTACTTTAACTTTCTTAAATAGTGTTTTGTTTTAAAATATTTGTTACACATATGACAATAATATTTGCATTTATTACTGAATATACGAATCTGCTGTTTAAAACTAGAACTTGGTTTAAAACATCTGTTACATACATACCTGAAAAACATAGTTACGTTCATCACTATGAGTTTCGCGATGATTTTTTAAATTTTCTTTCCATTTATAACTCTTATTGCAAATATCGCAAGTGAAAGAACGGTCTTTACTATGCGTTCGTTCATGTTGCAAAAACAGAGAGTTTAATTTAAATTCTTTTCCACATATATCGCAGGCATTAGCTCTGTATTCTCTTGTGTCTTTCTAAACTTCTCTTACCATATCGAACAAGCATACAGCAAATATCTAATTTCCAGAGGAATAACGACTTTTTACCATTTCTTGTAGATGACTTCACTTGATTTCCACATGGCTACAAACGTAAATTCCTAAGAAAAATTTCGTTTTGATATCCAGATTTGTGTTCTATCATGTGTTTTCTCAATAGAAATTGCCACAAAAACTTCTTATTGCAGGTTGAGCAGCGAAATGGTTTTTTCTTCTAATATGACAGGTGTGTTTCTAATATTCTCTTATTTGTAAAAGTCTCTTTACATAAATCACACGTAAATTCTTGTTTAGAATGAGATGCAAACATATCCCTGAAGTATATCCTTTTAATCTTCCCATGAATTTTATTGTATTTTCTACTGGAAGGAACGTATTTCTTTGTTTTGATATTATATTTATAACGCTCTCGCTTTTACTTCGTTTCAATACATTTTCTTTATTATTCTAGCGCAGTGTTTTTCAACCTTCTTGAATACGCGACCCCTTTACAAGTTAAAAAATTCTGGCAACTCCCCAGGGCCATATTAAAACTATATCAGTGATTTTAAAAACTACGTATTTCATTTTTTTTCTATTGAGACCTAAATATCAATTGAAAAACCAATTGTACTGTAAAATAAACATATACAGCCTTCTCACTGAAATTGTAGTTTTCTTTATTATAGTGCAGGACCTACAAACACTTATCTTTTTCTTTTACCCGCGACTCCCCGTACGGCTTTGTGACCCCCTGGTGGTCGCGACCCACAAATTGAAAAACACTGTTCTAGCGGATCCATAAAAAAGCAAGGTAATATGAATCATTAAATAACAACTCATGAGTTGTTATTTAGTAATTCTGATCATCCCAACATACTTTTATTAAATTCAAATTTATATTAATACGATGTAGGTAGTTACTTATAATTCTCAAATATCAAATATAATCCCAGTTAAATGTATGACAGTTGAAACTTGAATGCAGTTCTTCAGCTGCCCTCTAAATAATGCTAATATAAAAAGTTTGAATTAAGTGAAAATGTTACTTACTTTGGATGTTCATTTCATCCTTGTTAAAATTTTCGTTTAAAGTGAAGTATTCTTTGCTGACAGGCTAAACAATATGCAAAAAATACATGACAACCACTACTAATCATTTATAATATATAAATCAATAATGAGTTGCTCAACTTTCCCGGCAAAGTTTTAAAATTTTGATGGCGCTGTCTTTAATAAAACGTTTTTTAAATAAAATATGATAGTTTTAACTATTATAGAAATGCAAAGAACTGAATTTTAAAAGTAGAGATGCGTTTTACATAAAAAAAAGTTAAATGCAAATAACGAGTAAAATCATCATTAAGTCCGACCCTATTGGAGATACACACGACCTCCATTATCTCCCACTCTCTTGATTTTTAAGTAGTAAAACTTAATAGCCTCGATTTCCCTTTTTTATTCCTTTTCCATTTTTCAGCGTTTCAAAATGTCCTAAGTTGTTCTGAGTTTAGAAACGTAAATGTCTTGGTGAATCATTTTCTGATCGATCGTCATACTTTCCCTCTGTTATATATAACAGTCGGAAAAGTAATATAAAAGTCAATACACACGTATATTACAAATCCCTATTCCGTGATTTTATATATAAGCTACATTCAGAAGATAGCATTAAAATTAATTATTCTGTTTTGAAAATTTTGTAGAAATTATTTAGTCTTTTGGAGAAATTAACAAAATAACAAACGAGACTCTTCACTTTCCATCTTGTCCATAGATAAAGATATTACTAATGATGTAAGCTGATTTTGCTACAGATCTATGTTATTTATAAAGTAATTTAGCGTAGTGAAATCCCAGAGGAAAGTTGTGGCTTATATAAATCCGAAAGCAGCTTGGGAAATTATTTTCAGAAATTTACAAACGTTTTATGATGTCGATGACAGAAAATGCTGTTAATTAAAGAACAAACTTACTTCTACAGTATTATGATAAGCTGTAATGAACACAAATACATGAATATTCTATAGGCATTTTACATCACTTGCAAAAAAATTGAATAATTAAATAATTTCTGGATTAAATACGTCTGTTTCTTTACAGTGTTATTCACAAATGCTTGAATAATCATTATTTTTAATAAAATACGTCATAAATTTAACCCAAAACACAGAAAAAGCAAACGTTTAAGTCTAATTTCTACTCGCCATTTTCCAAACGCCATTATCAAACATCTAGGATTACAAGATAGCGGCGCTCGATGTTAACGTTTTAGCAATGAAAACTTCGGCCGCAACGTCTCTATTAGTTTGTTGTAGTCAACTGCTACTTTACAACAAATTATGATTAGAAATTTATTGTAATCTGTGTTTATCTAATTAGTACAGTGGGTGATCGGTTAATGAACAGTTCGGACTGAGAACGAATCTGATAACGAACACTCGCGAAAGACTTTTATGTTCGGACAACGAACACATGTTCGGATAACGAACAATTCAGAGAACAAATAGTAAAAGAAGCGCCATAAAATACTGAATACCGACTGGTCTACTTTATCTCCAGGTGACAATTCGAAACCTTTCGGACCGCTGAAGACATCGACATCGACGCTGAACCCAGTACCGATCGGATAGACTTCCACCGAGTTTTGACTCTCCTTTGTAATTCCAGCTTTTCGTTTAACTTTCTGACAAATAATTTTTTTATAGTCTTTGCGAGACTGTTCGGCATTAAAGCTTTGCGTCGGTTTTTATTTACGAAAGACGAGAGTTTAACTGTCCCCTCAAATATTCCTTAACGTTTAAATACCAAATTTCGAATTTCATCTCGACCTTGAATTTAAATAATTTTATGTGCTCTAGTTGATTTCTGTTCTCTGAATTTTAGTAAGTGCTTTTCTAAATTTTATATTTAAAAGAGAAATTGATAAAATTATGGAGCCTAAAATGAGTGGTGGAGTGTCAAGAACTATGCTCACTGTAGAAACCAAGCAAGAGATAAATTAAGGACAGCAAGAAACTCAGCGAGATGTGATTTCTTTTGAAAAACAGGAAGACGAAAGACGACCAATGCCGAAATCTGCTATTAAAAATCTTTTAAAGGAGTGGGAGGATGTCAGAACAATGATCATCCAAATGACATCCAAACTAGAATGAGGCTAGGGGATCTCTACAATTGCAATGCTATTATTTCCAAAAAATCCTGAAGGGAAAAAAAGGAATCGACATTAGACAGATTTTTTAACCCTCACAAACGGAAAAAACATGACTAATAAAAATTCAAGACAGTTATGTATGTATTTTTATTATTACATATAAATAAAAGTAGTAAGAAAATATATATTTTTTATATTTTGGGGTTTCCAGAAGGAATTAATGAAATTCCCATAAAAACCTATGGTAAATCGATAATCGGTTAATGAACAATTCGGATAGGGAACGTCTTGGAACGGATTATACTCGTTACACGATCATCCACTGTATTAGAAAAATAAATAAATCTGTTATTTCGTACTGTCGTCGTTTGAATGAATCTCAAAGTAAATTTTGTCAGGGATTTCGTAAATTTTGCTTGTATGTCGAGCCACTTTCCTCAACATGTGGCCACATCCATTGTGGACCTCACCGACCCATCGATGGAGCTGAAATAAGAACTCCTTGTTTATTCTCTAATTTATCGTGCACAAAAAAGCAGAAATACCCAAACTACCAACTGAGAAAAGTTTGAAACACTATAACTTACATATATAAATTTAATGTTGAAATTCGCTTTTTAATTTTAGGGATGTTACGAATGCATAACAAGATCAAGTATTCAAATCTGATCGATTTTCACCCACTGATTTTTTGCAAATTTTCAGATTTTGAGATCTTCTTCACCCAAAAAAAAAATTACAAAAAGTTTCGTGAATGTCTATGTGTGGGTGTATATTTTGGCGATTATTTTATTTAATATTTCAGAATAAAGTGAAGATTAAGAAACGAAATTTAGTACTATACGTTGTGCATAAAAAATATCACTGCTATTAAATTTTGGTAAAAAAACGTCGAGGGGTGAAGAGATGAAAAATGTCCACGTGTAAAATCTCCAGTCGGATCGGAGTTAATAAAGATTTTATTTCTTGTTAGCATCTATAATTTTTCTCTAACTGCACTTACGAATAAATAACTAAACACTAAAATTTTCTTAACGTCTAGAAGTTAGAAAAGTTTTAAAGTTAAAACGTTCCATAATAGGATTCGTTCGGTATAAATCGAAAATTTTTTCGATTCATTCCTGACTAAGGTCAATTAACTGACCGAAAACGTTACATGATATAATAAAATAAACTGCATTTTAAAGGTTTGTAAGATTTAGCATCTACAATCCTTTGCAAAATGAATTTCTACCATTAAGATTAAACATTTTTTATTTTATAATTATTATTTCCATAATTATAGAGAGATTTTATAACATAGCGCCACAGACAATTTTATTTATTTATCATGATTAATAATATAAATGTTATTCTTTAAATAAAATCTCTGAACAGCCAAAAAAGCTGCGCAACTCGCTGTTACATTTTTTTCTTATAACAATACATATTTTTTATTTAATACAGAATACACCTAAATTCAAAGCATAATATTATATTAGTGACATTGATCTACGTTTTCAACCATTCGGAAACCTAAGTTAATATTAAAATTTCACTGTAAAATATTTCGAAATTTGTATTACATACCATTACCTGTTCATTATCATCTGGGAGATGAACAACTTCTTTACAATCTTCAGTCTTTACTTCAATTTTCAATTTTTTCAAATCAACTTTACATTCTGATTTTATACCATGTTTAACATCACAATTCTCTTTTACTTCTTTCTTGATATCTGTAGTGAAATTCACAAACTTTTGTGTTAAAGGATTCTCAGAAAAACTTGGAATATAAAATAAAACTGAACATATTTTCAATAGTTAACAATATTAAATTACATGTTTCACTACATCATTTATATGGGATTACAAGCCGAAAACGAGCTATTTGTCACGGCGTATTGGTGTGATCTGTGACACAAATTATAATAAATGTTATTAGAAACTTCTTTTCGTTATTAAATAAACACGCAACGTGTAAAAAAGCGATGTGTAAAAAACAATAATGCATGCAAAAGTCTTCAAAAAAGTATGATATTATGCAAAGAATGAAATAATTATAAGGGATTCCCCAAACTTTGACCTTTAGATCCGAAAGTTTCGCTAGCCCCTCACGGATGACGAGAAAAGATAAGTGTGTAATCTGAGCTTAGTAGAACCGGTAGTTTTTTTTTTTTTTGTTTGTTTGTTTGTAAGAGCGTTTGCATTGCCGGAAGAAAATAATACAGCATTTTTGCGATTGTTGCACTTTTCGATTGCTTATGGAATATAAGCAATCGAACGTCGGCCACTTTGAGAAGCGATTAGTGTAAGTTGTATACTTTGATGATGTCTCTTTTTGAGGTGGAGGTGAAATTTTAAATTTGATATTACAGTATATGAAGTACGATTTTCTTTGAATGATTGTTGATTCTTTTTGTTATTTAGTAACCAACAACTTTATAGAATTTCTTCTAATGTTGCATAGTAACTAAGAAAACAAGTATCTTTCGAATGCGATATTTAGACTTAATACACGCACTTGGTGGACGAATAAATTGACCTCCGAATAGCGGAATCTGATCAGTGCCTTAACTAGTCAATCATGTGCCCTGTGCAAGAATTTGCATTTAGGCCTCTTAATTAATTAGGTTTGGGAAAATAATAAAACAAATACATGCATTTTATACCACCTTCCAAGTGGGCCCTGTGCGGGTGCACCTGTTGCACCTGCCTAGTTACGGCACTGTCTGTGATTCCTGTCTAGTCATTCAGTAGGTTATATATTTGGTGCGGAGTCTCTCCCATCACTCTCGATGTAATTAATATTAGATAATTATATCGCGCAATTACATATTGGCACATGACTATTATTTTTCATATTATTATGAAATTTATTTTTAAGATTAAATGACAAATTAACTCCTTGACACATTACGCTGTCACTTTTTCGTCAGGATAAATTAGGGTCATATGGTGAACACGTGTCATAACTATACGAACTGAAAATTAGTGCCACGTGTACAGTAAAACCTGATCAAAACGTAAACCTGTTAAAACGGAAAGAATCCTTCGGAATGCTTGTAAAAGAGTCAATGTCCGACCGTTATTTTATGTTTTTGGGCATTATTTTTAGTTAGTTATTTTCTTTTCGTGGTTCTTTTTTATTTAAGGACAAACTCCTAAGCACATGTGACAAAGTCAAAAAAGGCAGACTTAGTTTGCATCAGTGACTGATCCTGTAATGCAAAATGATGTAAATTAGGGTAGTGCGGAGCTGCACTGAACATAGGATAAAGATGGCACATCCAATACACCCACGGGATGTAGCTCCTGGTGACGAACGATGTAGACACGTCTCTGAGAAGCGATTAGTGTAAGCTGTATACTTTGATGTATGTCTCTTTTTGAGGTGGAGGTGAAATTTTGGATTTGATATTATATGAAGTACGATTTTCTTTGAGTGATTGTTGATTCTTTTTGTTATTTAGTAAATTTGTCAAATATTCAATTAGTTGGTACAATTAACAAATTGTTTTTTTCTTATTCCAATATAATAAAAATTATATCCATTGTGAACTGTTTCTTATATGTGGTTGTTGGATTATTATTATTGCTGCTTTTGATTTTCAAAGTCCAGGCCTGGTAGTTAAACCCTAACATTGAGTAACCCCCTTTTTTCTTACATGCTGCCATTTTCCATGTTAACTAAACCTTCTGAAACCGGAAAAATAGTCGGTTTACAGAGGTTTTACTAGAAAGGTTGCGACCGACGTTTTCAACGCGAAAACGTGCACGTCGGACGTTCAGCGCCGCCTTCCCGTGAGCCTAGAAGTTTAACAATGGCGTTTGCAACGTCAGTAGAATGATGCTCGACGTACCAAACGTCATTGTCAAACTTCTAGGCTCACAGGAAGGCGGCGCTGAACGTCTGACGTACACGTTTTCGCGTTGAAATCGTCGGCCGTAACCTCTCTACTGTATAGGGTTATTCGGAAGCTATGGTTGCTGCTCGAGCTGTTTACGCGCAATTCGTGTATAAATTGAGTATTTCTGTTTCTGTCTTGAATTATTTTTTTACACGTTTATGTTTACAGTAGCCTCGAAAATCTTAAGATAAGCTTACGACTTTTATTTCTTTCACGTAATACATTAAAATGAATACATTAAAATGTTGAATATAGAGTCTAACCTGTAATAAGTGAAAAAATAATAACGGAATAGGTTCTGGTACAGGGCTTATAAATGTACTATTCACCAACTAACCCACACTTCTAAAGGTGAGACTTGGGAAAACATTATACATCAAACTTCTCTAAGCGAAACCTGCCTGAGCAGAAAAAATTACTTTCAAGGGGCTATTTATAATAGTTCTATGTATTATAAAAATAAATTATTTAGAATTGAAAAATTTCCGAATAATTTCCATTATATTTCACAACTGCATCAATTATAAATAAATTATTCCTGTCAAATTTCAAAATTTATAACGTATTGGAAATTATAAGCCAAAAAGAGAAAAATTCATGTTCCACTTTCGGAATTAAACGACAAAATGACTACGTGGTGATAGAATACAATTTGTTTTTAATTAAAAATTTAGTTTATCATATCACTATCACATTTAAAAAAATTTAGTTTATCATATCACTATCACATTTAAATTGGGATACTCGCTGTTCTACCATGCTAATAAATTGAAATGATGGTGTAAATGTTACCGCTAAAGCTCGAAAGTCGTTAATGTGTACATTACCTAGCTAATCTGCAGATTAACTAGGGTGATGCGTTAAAGTTGCGAAAATTGTTCTATTTCTCAAATTACCTAGGTAGTGTGCAGATTATGTAGGTAATCTGCAAATTACCTACTTGGCACTCAGTAAAGTGAAAATAGATCTTTGCTGGACAACAGCAACGTTTCTGTACGCTTAAATTAACATAATGTTCTTTATTTAATTTTTGATATGTAAAGAATCAAGTTAATACAATCAAACAATCAACAAATTAGTTGATAGAATCGATCATCAACCAATTAAAAAACACAAAAAATCAAACGGTTTAAAATATTATTACAATTAGGGAAATTATTATATAGATTTCGATTATAGATACTTATGATTTCGATAGATTATAGATACCTATGGAATTTCGGGACTTTGAGTATCTATCTGAACTGAGGGGACCCTACTTTTGGACCGGAGACGAAAAATAATAAAGTTATCATACTTTTTCTGGTGATCGCATGATATAATTGAGCAATTAATGTTACCTATGGTGAGTAAAATGGCGGCTCGTCTCTGATTCCAGCAAATAGAAGAAAGGAAACAGTGAAGACGCACGTTCTAACCTAACCTAACCTATTCTAATAAATTGCCATAATTATTACCAACCAAATTATTAGAATAGGTTAGGTTAGGTTTGAACGTGCGTCCCCACTGTTTCCAGTAGGTAACATTATCCAATTGTGCTTAGTTATTAGTGCAGTCTAAAGATTGGTGACACGTTGAATTTCATAGCAATTGGTTTTTGCGACAAGCACACCTATTTGTGGTACATTTATTTGTGGCAAAGATCTTATTTTCACTTTACCGAGTGCCTAGTAGATAATGTTCGGATTACCTAGATACCCTGCACATTATCTAGGTAATTTGAGAAATGTTATAATTTTCACAACTTTAACGGATCAACCTAGTTAATCTGCAGATTAGCTAGGTAATGTACACATTAACGACTTTCGAGCTTTAGTAGTAACATAAAGATCTCTAATCGTTAAAAATCGCTGTTTAATATCTAACAAACAATTGGTTTAACGGTTCCGACTGGACACCGGTCACGTCCTGCCCATCTAACTGACACGAACAAAAGACATTTCAGAATACGCGCCCACACGTAAGTGCAACCTGTAACCTGATCGGTTTTCACACTTTCAAAATCAACCGGCCCAACAGATGGCCTTAACTCTATCAACGCCATTATAATATACAAAATATATTTAATTTGATATGCACTGTATATAAAATGTTTAAAAAAGTTATTAAATGTTATCAAATTAATATTTACATAAATATGAATTTATTGATATTTATGCTATAACTATTCTTTTAATCACTAGAAACATATTTTTATAATGTAAAGCGCATTAAGCCTCTTACCTATTTCACTGGTATAACCGGAATTACTCCAAGGATTAAAAGAGTTTGTGTTATTTCTTAAATTTTCATAAGTATTTATCTGAAACAACACAAAAAAATACATTATCACACAAGTTATATTTTACAGAAGAATAATTAAAAAATTACTTAAACCGAAACATTAAATTGCGTTTAATCGATAAATTCCTTCAAAATAATATTTCATCTGCATTAGTCTTGATTGTATTATAAGAATTCGTTCATTTAATTAAAATCTGGAGCATCCTCATACCAAAAAAATGACGTGAAAATGACAGCTTATAAATTATTACACCTCAAAATACATCATATCAACTTCTCTAGTTATAAAATATTGAATTGTGTTTTTGTTAGAACAACACTGGTTCACTCAAAAATTTTTTAAAAAGTCTGTAAATTATTCTTCCCTCCGATTCCTATGATAAAAAACAAAAAATATCTATTTCCACTCGTTCTTATTAACTACTAGCAGACCCCGCCACGCATTGTTGTGGCTCAAAATGTATCATAAATTTATAACACTTCCCCGTGGGGGGGGGGAATTTTTCGAAAAATTTCTTCTTAGTGTACATTCTGTTGACGTACCCTATTAAAACGCAAAAAACCGCATCTAAAATAGTATAAATAGAAGCAGAGTTCTTTACGGTAAGCCTTAATCCTAACCATCTCCCTTCAGTGGGGGAAATTTCGACACGTATATAAAAACACGTGCGTATTCGAATGCAGCGTTGTGTCAAAATTTCAAAGGAATCGGTAGGAGCAAACGAACATTACATTTTTATTTATATAAATAGATAGAAGATGATCTGCTTTAGTTCATTTACACAGAAAAGCATAATGCCTCACAGAAAAGCAAACTTAGGGCGTCGTACTCGTAGCGCCATCTGTTGGACATAAAAGCCTTAACCTAGATTATATATTTTAATTTATACGAATGTTTAACGGAATAATGTACAGCCTATGTCCACCCTGAAGTTCCATTCTAAATATTGGTGAAAGAATTTTTGAAATCGGATGAGTAGTTTCGGAGATTACCTGCTGCAAACAAATTTACATACATACATACATACAAACATTACCTCTTTATAATATTAGTATAGATTAACACGCTCCTACCCCATTGTTCCACTTTGACCATATTTCCGTACAATTGTCGCCTCTAAATTCCTTCAAAATATTATCTTTAAATAATTTAGAGGGATCGTTCAATAAAACTCCTTCCCTTAAAAACTTTGATAACTTTACAAATGATAGATACCATAAGTAGAAACTTAGCAATTCTGAAACATAATAAAATGCATAACTTGTATAAAATTTAATGAAATAAACGGATGTCCACTAAACATCCACTCCTAACCTCTTCTCCAGTTCTCCCAATACTTCACGTGGGATCCTCTAATTTAAATTTGCCATATTCCGATAGTTATAACGCGCCACGGTTTATTTGTTTCTTTTAAACATTCCAATAGGTCAATCGACTGGATTGTACCATTTATAATTATTGATAGTAATCCATGTTTATATTTATATATCACTGCTGCCAATCAGCACCGTTAGGTTTATTAAAATTGATCTCTTTTTAATTTTCTATTATAAACATATTAGTTTACAATGGTTAAATTTTTAATATCATTTAAATTACAAATTTTCGAAAAAAGGTATAACTAGAAAACAGTCGCGATTAATTTGCAACGTTTATAACTTGAAAATATATATTTTTTCTTTGAAACAAACACTGCAAGTCAAGTGATGAGAAGTTTCTCCCTTGATTATAAAAGTATCGTTTATCTTCTTTCTTTCAACTGTGGGTGGTTGACTTCGCCAAATGTAGGTCAGTTTACGTCAATGTACAGTACAGTACTATCTACTTCAAATAGTGTAGACGCTTTGCTTATTATTCCAACAATAATTTCAACAATGACTATAATAAGCGATGTTATAAGCGATTATATCGCCTAAAGCCAGATACACACATGCGGCGCGGCAAGGAAAAGCGGTGTCGCAAACGCATTTTCGCCGCGCGGCAGCACAGCCACACAAGCGGCAATTCGCTTATATTTCAGCGCATGCGTTCAGTATTCAGATGGCGAACGATACCGACACTGCCCCAATCCACGTGTTTACAAATTTTGTTTTGTACGGCTTGCTTTATTTAGCTAGATTTTGTCGAAGATTCGAACGAAAACTTGAAATTAGAGATATTTTTTTGGATCGACAAAAACTTGTGTACAAAATAGACTTATTCCTCGATTAAGATCTCTCGATAAATAATACTATTTCGAGTAAGATTCGGTTGTTTTGTTCTTTGAATTAAATTATATATGATAATTTGTGTAGAATTTTTTTTAAAATTTGTTATCCTTTCCTCCTTATTCTGATTTTAGTTATCTGGGTTAACCGCCTCGAACTTTCCGTCATTAAAACACCATGCGAGTGTATTTTCTCACGTGACTACCAGACGAACCGTTATTGGCTGATAGAAACGCGTCTTGGCGGCGGTCGCCGCAAAAGATAGAATTCAATCAACAAACCCAGGATTATATCACTAACCTTACTATGCCTATATCTATTATATTGAATCCTTTGTTAGACCTCGAGATGATCCAAAAAAACTAGAAATTTTAATCAATTCTTTGTAAGTTATTCTCCCATCTCATTCCTACAATCTAAATCTCATACCAATTATCCCTTTTAATTGTTCCCATTGACTATTTAATTGTATTTTTCTGTTCTTTGTAACTACAATAAGTTCATATCTATCTGACAAAAAATATAGCTTTTATATAATTGTGTACAATAATTAATACATTTAATATGATAATCCTTATACTTTTTATGCTCTTATCCGGGCAAGTATTTTATTCTATTAATGACAATATTGTAATATATATAAATAATTAAACAATTTGTGTAATATTTTGTAAAGTTCGATTGAAAAGTGCCAGATTTTTTACTTAACCCATAGAAAACGAATACTATCACCAAAATGACAAATTTTATAGAAAACTGCCATATGACCTTTTCGTCCTGTCATCGAGAATAACGTGCCTATCTCGGTTCGACCATAAGTTATAAAGATATTCTTTCNTACATACATACATACATACAAACATTACCTCTTTATAATATTAGTATAGATTAACACGCTCCTACCCCATTGTTCCACTTTGACCATATTTCCGTACAATTGTCGCCTCTAAATTCCTTCAAAATATTATCTTTAAATAATTTAGAGGGATCGTTCAATAAAACTCCTTCCCTTAAAAACTTTGATAACTTTACAAATGATAGATACCATAAGTAGAAACTTAGCAATTCTGAAACATAATAAAATGCATAACTTGTATAAAATTTAATGAAATAAACGGATGTCCACTAAACATCCACTCCTAACCTCTTCTCCAGTTCTCCCAATACTTCACGTGGGATCCTCTAATTTAAATTTGCCATATTCCGATAGTTATAACGCGCCACGGTTTATTTGTTTCTTTTAAACATTCCAATAGGTCAATCGACTGGATTGTACCATTTATAATTATTGATAGTAATCCATGTTTATATTTATATATCACTGCTGCCAATCAGCACCGTTAGGTTTATTAAAATTGATCTCTTTTTAATTTTCTATTATAAACATATTAGTTTACAATGGTTAAATTTTTAATATCATTTAAATTACAAATTTTCGAAAAAAGGTATAACTAGAAAACAGTCGCGATTAATTTGCAACGTTTATAACTTGAAAATATATATTTTTTCTTTGAAACAAACACTGCAAGTCAAGTGATGAGAAGTTTCTCCCTTGATTATAAAAGTATCGTTTATCTTCTTTCTTTCAACTGTGGGTGGTTGACTTCGCCAAATGTAGGTCAGTTTACGTCAATGTACAGTACAGTACTATCTACTTCAAATAGTGTAGACGCTTTGCTTATTATTCCAACAATAATTTCAACAATGACTATAATAAGCGATGTTATAAGCGATTATATCGCCTAAAGCCAGATACACACATGCGGCGCGGCAAGGAAAAGCGGTGTCGCAAACGCATTTTCGCCGCGCGGCAGCACAGCCACACAAGCGGCAATTCGCTTATATTTCAGCGCATGCGTTCAGTATTCAGATGGCGAACGATACCGACACTGCCCCAATCCACGTGTTTACAAATTTTGTTTTGTACGGCTTGCTTTATTTAGCTAGATTTTGTCGAAGATTCGAACGAAAACTTGAAATTAGAGATATTTTTTTGGATCGACAAAAACTTGTGTACAAAATAGACTTATTCCTCGATTAAGATCTCTCGATAAATAATACTATTTCGAGTAAGATTCGGTTGTTTTGTTCTTTGAATTAAATTATATATGATAATTTGTGTAGAATTTTTTTTAAAATTTGTTATCCTTTCCTCCTTATTCTGATTTTAGTTATCTGGGTTAACCGCCTCGAACTTTCCGTCATTAAAACACCATGCGAGTGTATTTTCTCACGTGACTACCAGACGAACCGTTATTGGCTGATAGAAACGCGTCTTGGCGGCGGTCGCCGCAAAAGATAGAATTCAATCAACAAACCCAGGATTATATCACTAACCTTACTATGCCTATATCTATTATATTGAATCCTTTGTTAGACCTCGAGATGATCCAAAAAAACTAGAAATTTTAATCAATTCTTTGTAAGTTATTCTCCCATCTCATTCCTACAATCTAAATCTCATACCAATTATCCCTTTTAATTGTTCCCATTGACTATTTAATTGNTGCCTATCTCGGATCGACCATAAGTTATAAAGATATTCTTTCCTATTTCGTATTTTATATTTTAATATTTTAGTTGTTTTTCTCGTCCTTAAAGCAACATCAGAATCATACCATACTCAAGCGCCAATCAACATCAGAGATACCATACTCAAGCGCCGAATGAGACTGTTGAGACCTTTATACAGCTGTAGAGCACACTTATACCAGCAAAAATTTTTTTTCTTTCGTGCTACGAGCAAAGACGTCCATATTATCAAAATTTTGTCAAAGTGTATAATTTATACCATCTTAGATTGCAAGATTCTATATAATTAATACAATCGAGTCTCTTTTTGGAGACACTCGTTTTGTTTAGTCATCATTTGTAGAACTTATCTGCAGTGCAATACTTTTTGTAATCTACCTGTTCAACAAAGTGGAATCGTCCAGCATCGTTGTCTCTCGTCGTTAATGGTATCGTCCATACGATTTTAATCTGCCACCTGCACTGAGCTCTGTTTTAACAAATTTTTTTTTGCACGCTACGAGCAAAGACGTTAATTTAAGAAAAAAAGAAGGAAAAAAATTGTTAACGTATATAATTTACATTATTTCTGGTAGTTCTATTTACTTTTTATTGTTTTTAATATACATTTTTGTCTTTTCAATACAGTTTTATTTTAATCGTGTGTTGTTCGTGATATATGCAGGTTGAGTCTATTTTATATAATAATATTTTGATTTGTCTATAATTAGTTTATACATTTTTGATAGTTCCTCATCGCCTTCATCTTTATTCATAGAACCAGTTTTTTTCCCCTCCTATAATGTATTCAACAAAAAATCTTAAAATTTTTTTCCAAAACGTCAGGTCCATTAATAACAAATGCATGTTCCTTGCCTCGATTTTAAATGATTTTTATGATTTATTTATATTAACGGAAAGTTGGCTTACTCCAAACTCTGATGATGTGTTGAATTTTATTGACAATTTGGGTTATTCACATATTGCTTTATCGCGTAATATTCAACGTGGTGGTGAAATCCTTTTGATTTTTCCCCCATCGCTTAAACCTGTAAAAGTATTTGAATATCTTGATTCAATCCTTGCTGTCAAACTTTCTGTTTATAATCTAATAGTCATTTCGATATACGATCCCCCCATAATAAAAGAGATTCCATTTTTAAAATTTTACATAGATATCTTATTTCTCTCTCTGAATCCCAAAATATTAAAATTATCTTATGCGGAGACTTCAATATGCGTAACATCTCTTGGAATTCTAATGGCCCATATTATTCCTCCCTTGACCCGACTGAACAATTTTTCCTTAATGAAATTTTCTATTTTTTCCAACTTAAACAGGTAATCCTTTTTCCATCTCGTATTAATTAATAATTTTCTTGATCTTGCTTTTACTTATAATTGTGTTGTATCTACCAGTTACGCTCAGGGGTTCAAATCTGACCATAATGCAATATGTCTAGATGTCTTATTAAATACCAATAAATAGCAATCTGCCAAATACATTAATATTCCAATCTGGGCCCCATTCAATGGCACAGAGGCCTCTAAAATCCTTTGCTCCATTGATTGGACCTTCCTCAACTCGCCTATTTCTCCTCAGAAACTTACTGATAAAATTTACAACTTGTTTTCTGAAACTATTAAAAAATTATTACAATTCCGTAAAATCAACTCTTCTGCCAATAAATGGCTTCCTCTACACTTAAAGAAATTATCCAATATGGTTAGAAAACAATGGAGCAAATGGAAACGTTATGGTAACCCACGTGACTTATACTTACATAGAATATTGCAACAACGTTATTACCAGGAACATCGTATTGCTTTTCTAGAATATTTTAACAGAACTGTGTCTAATTTTGCTGCTGATCCTCGTACCTTCTGACATTTCATTCCTAACTTTTAAAAAAAAAATACCTTATCACAAAAATCTATTCCAGACGATAAAATATATGATATATTTAATAATATTAAATCCAGATATTTTCGCATTTTACCTGAAGCTAAGTTTCATTCCCTATCTTTTCAACAATGTAAACATAAATTCTTTATTTCTTTTTCTGATGTTAAGTCTGCCATAGATAGCCTAAACAACTCGAATTATAGTCCAGACTCAATTCCGGCTCAATTCTTTAAAAAGTTAAAGGCAATATCCGCTGTTGTTCTCTCCAAACTCTTCACAAGTTTATTAAACTCTAGTCACATTCCAAATCAGTGGTTAATCTCTAATATAAAGGTTCTCCCCAAAAAAGATAATTCCTTTAGACCAATAACTATACTATCAGCCATGTTAAAAATTTTTGAAATTTGCTTATATAACAAAATCTATACCCAAATTACCTCCAGATTCTCCCCTCATCAACACTGTGGCATCCGTAACCTTTCGACTACTACTAACCTACTTGAAACAACTTATACTATTTTGCAAAATTTTGAGAACAAAAAATCCACCTACATAATTTATATTGACATCTCCCAAGCCTTTGATTCTATCATTCCTAAATTACTACTTCAGACTCTAAGTAATTATTTTGATTTAGATCCCGCTCTTTACTGTTGGTTAAACAATTACTATTTATCCAGACTATGTAAGATTCACATTGGTGACTTTGATTTTTTCCCTTTTTCTCCTATCTGTGGCATACCTCAAGGATCTGTACTAAGCATGCTTTTTTTCTCAGCTTATATAGATAAATTACTAACCAACCACCACTCTAAAGTAATTGCCTACGCCGATGACATCAAAATTTTATCCAATGATCCTTCCTCCCTTCAGATCACTGTCAATTCTTTACGTTCTAATCTTGCCAGTTATAATCTAAAAATCAACATTCATAAAACTGTCATTATGTGTTTTTCTCTACTTCGCAATCCCAACCACCCTTCCATATTTATTGATTCTTCTAAAATAAACTATGTCCAGTCTCATCGTGACCTTGGTATTATATTTGATGAAAAATTAATATTCCATGATCATATCTCTTACATTATTAAATCTCTTGCAATTAGACGTGGCTTTATTTGGCGTTTTTGCAAAAATATCTCTTCAAAGACCGTACTCAGAACAATTTTCTTTACTAATTTTCAATCAATAGTCGATTATTGTTTACCTGTCTGGGCCATGGCTGCCCCTTATCTGATTCAAAAAATACAATCTGAATTAAATAAAGTTTATTTTCTGATACACAAATTCTGCAATTTACCAATTACAAACAACCACGATGTGGCAAGAGTTCGCCTTGGTCTTCCAAATCTTTCTGATCGCTTAAAATATTTTGACCGCATTCTCTGTTTTAAATACTTCAATGGTCTAATCTTCAATTACTGGCTAGGTCTCCGCATCCCTACTGTAAGAACTCGTAATACATCATGCTTCTTCATCCCTTTTTTTCGCCTTTCTCTTTCCCAAAGATTTTTTTTTTACCGTATAGCATCTCACATACAGCCTGTTGAACCTTATCTATATCGTGATTTTAATTTTTTTAAAAATAAATGTAAATCTATTTTATATAATATATAATGTATCTGTTGTCTTACTTAATTTATAATTTTTTTTATTATGTCTGTTATATCTTTTATATTTTGTAATCATTTTATTGGGGATCATTTTTTTTTCTTTGTTATTGGGGGGTGGAATACAATCGTCTCTGACGTTTCAATGTAATGTAAATAAATAAAAACGTCAAAGGAACCGTACCTTTACATATGACCTTTCGCGAGATATTGGGTAGTCCACAAAAATTACTCTGTGAGAAATTTGCCTATGCTTTTTTTCTATCTCCAAAATGTCCCACGGATGTGTTTTTTACCTCAGAGAACACTACTTTTTACTCACCTCTGTATTATTATCGTTTTCATATTCTAACGGTTCTGATTTGATTCTTACACAAAACTTCTTATCTTCCGTTTTTAATTCTTTCTTGCAATTCTTTAATACAACAGCAAAATTTTCTTTACTTGGTTCAAAAGTAAAATTGAAATCTTTTGTATCTAACTCTTCTTTTATTTCCATTTTCTTAGTTTAGAATACTTTTGTATGTCAACACTGTATTTAATTAAAAAAAATTTTAAAACAGTCGAGTTGAAATTACTTTTTGTATAAATAAGTGAATAAAGTTGATATAATGCGAATCACTTACCTCTTGTAGTTGAATAGAGTATTATTAATCAATATCAATTAATAAATTTTTGCATTACAAAAATTTAAAATTTAGTACAAGTAAGAAACAAACTAAAAACGTAGTGTTGTTAGTGTTATACTAAACAAACGAGTACAAGCTCGACGTTGACGTTATCGAAAGAAAGCACTTCTCCACTCCATGTGACAATTTGTTACTTTAAAACTCACGCGTTAAAATGTAAGCAATTATTGTTTTTAAAACCGGCTTGTAAATATTTATAACAAGCGAAAATAGTTTTTCATTTCATACTTAAAATTTGAAAAATTTCTGTCAGCCGCATCACAATTTAAATAAAAAGCAAAGAAATTCTCTCTTGTAAGATGAAATTATTAAAATTGTTTTTAACGACAAAACCATGAGGGAGATAAACTGTTTATGAAGCTTTTACTCATTTTCCCAAGTATCCAGACAATTAAAATTTTATTGAAAAAACAGTATTTTTAAACAGATGTAAAAATGAAGTAATAAAATCTGATATAAATATCAAGTTACCGGCGATTCTACTTTTTAATCTGCTTTCCGTTTTATTTTCTACATTTAAAGAGGTGAAAGGTTAAATTGAGTACTGTAAATGCTTCTGCTTCACTTCTTTCCGGATAATTGACAAAGTAAAGTTATAATCAGAGACATGAACCATCACGAATACTCCGATGNGATGTAAAAATGAAGTAATAAAATCTGATATAAATATCAAGTTACCGGCGATTCTACTTTTTAATCTGCTTTCCGTTTTATTTTCTACATTTAAAAAGGTGAAAGGTTAATTTGAGTAAATGTTTCCGCTTCACTTCTTTCCGGATAATTGACAAAGTAAAGTTATAATCAGAGACATAAACCATCACGAATACTCCAATGAAATTTCTCCTACTTGATATAATTGAAAAATGGCAACATTAGCAATCATGTTGGTTTGGCATATAAGAGTGTTATACTGTTCTTATTTTCTCGTGTTTATGTCATTATAGCCTATGTGCGTGCAAAAAAAAATATTGAATAAATGCTTATTCTAGTATTGAGGGTAATATTTAATACGGCTGGAAAATGAGAAACGTAGAAGAAAATTGAGAATTTAGAAGTGACTGGACTGAATTCTACACAGCTGTTGCAAATTTAATAGGATTTCCAGTGTGTTTAATATGTCAAGAAAAATTTAGTAACAAAAAATCAAAAGTACAAAGTCATTTTTATATAAACACGAAGCATTTGCAAACACTTATAGAGAGGGAGAAGAAATAAAAAATAACAGTAGATCTTCAAAAAAAAAAAACGAACTTAAGTATAAGCACATTTTCAAATCGGGTAAAATCATGTGATAGTACAACTACTACTAGTTTTGTTGCCGCTCTAGAAATACTGAAACGATTTTGTGAAAGATTGCTTTATTAAAATGTCCGAATATGTATTTTGCAATTTTAAAAACAAAACAGAAAGAATTGCTAAAATAAAAGACACACCATTGTCCACCTAGACTGCAAGAGACAGAACTGTTTGTATGGCAGAGGATGTAACTATCAGCAGGTTATGGATTTAAATTAAACATCAAAATTTTATATTGCCTTGGTGAATTTTGCGATGTGAATAATATTGCACAGATTGTACTTATTTCTAGATATGTTAACTTTTATGAACCTCAGAAAGAGTTACTCGATATACTGCTAACTTACAGGACAAACTCGAGCTGAGAATATAGAATTACCAACAGTTTCAAAAGTAAGAATATTGATATTAATAAAATAGTACCAATTGATGTGAAAATATGCTACCAAAATTCAGATACGAAGTTCGAGTTTCTGAATATTAAGTATCGCTTAAGGAAACTTCGTGCCGAAGTTGAAAAAAGTGAAAAGGAGAAATACGTGAAACAAAACTTGTCGATAATCGTGTGTTGTCTGATGCCAAAGATTGCATTTTAGACGAAGCAATTTCTTTAAAATTATTTTCAAAATTCTTCGATAATGAAATATTAGAGAAAAATTGTAGATTAAACAGATAGATACTTCCAGCAAAAAACCAAAATAATGATGTTCTGTATAATTCTGCTTGACAATGTCATTATGTGAAGCAAAAACTACAACAAAATGCAAGATACGTGATGTTGGTCTGCGTAGTTTGTAAAATTCCATAGAACTTTATATGTAAAAATTTCATCAAATTTAATTTATAAATAACACAGATTAGATATAGCTAACGTAATAACCATATGCTTAATGTCCTATATATATAGAATGCCCTGCAATTGATATAAAATAATAATAAATTTTATCATAAACCTTGTCAATGCTTTTTTCTTTATTAATATTAATATATGTACAGTCAACCCACCTATAGCACTGTTGATTATTCTGTTTTATATGAATTCCATGTTGTATGAGTCACTTAGATTTTACAAATACATGTGAAGGGCTGTGAACAGCTCACGTATTTGTAAAATCTAAGTGACTCGTACAACATGGAATTCATATAAAACGGAATAATCAACAGTGTTATAGGGGGGTCAACTGTAAATATATTACAATAAGTTACGTAAATCTGTAATCATAAAATGTTAATAGTACTAATACACTTTTCATAAAAATTATCAAAAAATATATTTAATAAATTTCGTCCTATTTAAGTTAATTCCGCCGTGAGAACTTTAATTAATTTCTCGCCATTCCTTAACATCTTACAAGTTTCGAATCAGAAATATTTAAAACAGACGATCGACTCGACGGCGCCAAATACTCGGTCGCCATTTTGTCCACTTCATCGGCCTACCACAATTACTTTTTATCTTATTATTTACGAGATATTTTACGATGTCGTAACTTACGATTGGAAGTTTTGGTCAATTCGGACTCGGTTCACGTTCAAGTTAATAAATTCGCGGAACAAATTTTCATAAAACTTAAAACTTTCGTACTAACCGTTAACTTTGAATTTGATCCTCTCGAACACATAGCGTCGACGGCAAAGAGTTCGTCTGGATGCAAAAATAAGTTTAAAAGTTAGGACGGAAAATTTCATAAAATTTAAAAATATTAATTCATTTCGAAGCGCATTTAATATTAATATTTACTCAGTCGGAGGACTTTTTAAATATCGGATTTTTCTTAATTTCTATTAATAAAATCTGTTAACTAGTTTACTTTTTTTACTCAATCTAATGTTTAAAAAATATAATCCAGATGGAAATCGAAAAGAATTTCTTTAAAATATTTTACACTTTTCAATTTGTATCGATGAACTATTTCGTGATGATTGGTATTCGGACCGAATTTCAAAGTCTTGTTGTCGAGATTAATTACGTTTAAATCGCATAATTCGGAAACACGTTCACTTCTTTTCCTGTATATCCGTTTGTTTATAACCAGGGAAATTCTTCTAATCTCGGAAAATCTCGCAAATTCTTTAAAAAGCACATTTTTTCTTATTTTGTGTTAAGATTGAAGAAATTTTGCATATAGAAAGTGTAATTAAGCAACTTTCGCGACAAACTTCATGACGTCATCAAGAGTAGACCTTTGACGTACTGGTACATAGTGATGTACCGTGTACCACTACTTGAATCGCATTTGCGTCTAGAAAATATTCAAAATTGATTTTTAAAATGTTTTTACATGTAATTCGTGAATTTCCCTCGAAATTAGAAGGCGTTGATGTCAGAATGATCAGTCATTTTAATTAAAATAAAGACCGATAAGTGTGGTCTTTGTCAAATATCAGTCTATGAAAATAACCAAAATTTTTATAAAATATAAAATTATAAAAACTTACTTGGTTAAATAAAATGCGTGGTGGATATACATACCTGGTACAAAACATTCTTCAATTGTATAAATATACTTTTAAACAAAATTATAATTAAGTACTGTATAGCTTTGTAATGAAACGTACATAAAAATAACATAAATATTCTGTACTCTTTAAATCTTAACCACTTAGTCAAATAGCTCCCTACGAGTGGAATCAGAGACGGTCCTGCTAGGTTTGACAGCCCGCGTGCTGTGCGTACATGCACGCGGGCTACCAAATCCGGAAGGTGCCGATACCGATCAATTTCAAATGCTCTTTTGTCAACAAACCACACAAGAACCATAGCAAAATTGATTGACAGTAAACATGAAAATAATGAACATAACGAGTTAGAAAAAAATAATGTAGTTTATTCATTAGATTGCAGTTGTTCAAAAAAATACATAGGTGAAACTGGAAGAAAATTAAATACAAGGATTAAAGAACATTGCAACACTGAAGGTTGTGAAATTTTAAAAGATAACATCAAGTGTATTATGACAGAAAACAATCAACTAAAAAGAAGACTACAGGAACACCTAGAAATTCTGAAAATACAGGAAGACATCAGAATTAATAACAACGTGGAACTACATGAGGGGTGGATTGACATCGTTTTCACTTGACCTTGAAACAGATGCTGAACAGATGTAGGGAGTATAGTCACATCACTTTGTATAATGCAGTGTGACAGTACAGTTGACTTCACAAAGGCTTATAGATCAGATGTATTTTGTTTTTGTTAAAATCTGGAGATCAATTGGTTTTAATAAAAGTAAGTTTATTGTTAGTTTCCCTCCCCTTTTTTGTGTTTTTTAATATATTTAACAATATTTATTTTCCCTTGTCAAATTGTAAATACATCAATAGTTTACTACATACAAAAAACATTCCCGAGAGCTTACGCTGACTCTATTGTAAATTGTTCACCTTATGTTTTTTGACATCTTTAAATGGAACATGAAGAGTGACATATTGGTGGAAATGGGGTGTGACGAACCTTGACGGCCACTTTGAGCACTAAACTTCTTTGAAATCACATGATCCTATTGTCAACTGTGTTTCATTTCTATTTTTTTTTCTTTTTTTGTTTGGATATTTGCTTGCCAGAAACAAAAATATTTATTGAATATGGGCACGAATTTTCAAAATAAACGCATCTCCTTCTTCATTATTTATTAAATTCATTTTTTTATGAAAATTAAATTTTTAGTTATTCAACATAAAAAATGAGATTTTATTCTCCATAAATTATTATACGTATTCTTTTACGTCTCAAAGTTCCATTCGAATATGCTTATAAATTATCGATAGACCAGCATTAGATGAATTGGCAAATTCATAAATTATTTATGTTCCACTTTTTAAATTTTATAAATAAAATATTTTTAAACAAGAATAAATTATGATTAAGAATTAATCAAATTAATTATTAATTATTTATTACGAATTATTGAATTCGTAATTAAATATTTACATAAACAATGCAAAATTTTCAGTATAATCTGCATTAATATTCTTTACTCTAAATATATAATTCAGTTGTTCTCAATTCACTTCAAGGCATAAATTATATAAAAAATTATATGTATATATACAAAGCTTATTATAATGTAGACAACAATATTAATGTTGTTTGATTTATATTTTTATTGCATAAATGTGTCATTCGTGTGCTTTGAATGCGTGTTGTATTTTATTCTTTAACCTTCTCAAATAATAAGTTTTCATAAAATAAAATTACATTTTTCTCACTAAAGACCCATTATTTAGAGAATTATTACCGCAAAGTAGATAAAATATCGTTATTTTTAAGTAGGAAATAAATATTTTTCAGAATTAAAGTCGTTTAATTAATGTTTAAAAATTATCATTGTTTTTCATTTTTAAATCAATTTATAAATTCTTGCAAATTAAAATCACATTAAAATCAAATAAATTAAATTGAAATTACTAATTAGGTCGAAATAATTGCAAAATATTTTAATTAATTTTAAATGATAATAATTGTTTTCTGTTCGGGCAATAGTGTAAATTGTTATAATATATAAAATAAGAAATAAATAAATAAATTTTTATATAGATTGCGACGTAGAAAATCCAAATTAATTAAAAGCGTTTGATGTCTTAGCTTATATCTAGAGGAATGAGGAAACAATTAATCTCTTGACAGTAACTCAACATGTCATATCAAATCTCAATAACTCCCGAAGCATTAATAAAACGCCTTTCTTCTCCAGGGAAATGTGTATTATTAATTTTGACATATACTTTTTTATGTCTGTTTTTTTATATTAACGACGTTTCCAAATATCCAAAACATTGACGCGAATAAACCAAGCGTTAAAACTTTGTATCAATAGAATCGAAATAATGCATTTTGGCGGTGGAAGAGCGCATACAGCGAAATATGTTATTGTAAGAGAACTTGTTAAATGACATGCACTTCCATATCATTGTTTTGTCTGCTCCATTTCCAGTACAAGTTTTCTGGCTATAATTTTCTTGAATTTCTTTTCTGACTTTAATACAAAAGTGCAGATTGTAGCAAAAAGAAAGAAAAGATTTGTGAAGAAACGAAAGGGTATGTATCCAGCCAAGCGTGATTCACACTTATGAAGAATGACAGTCAAAACAAAGAGAAATTGCAGGGAGTAATTTCAACTTCACCAAAACATATGTTAAGTATTATATGCAAACAAAAGGAAACTTATACAATAAACTATAATTCCCTATCTAACGAAAAATAATTCACAAAGAACAACTAAAGCCATTTTAAATTGTATTTCAAAATTCAAACTTCCTTAATTAACAATTATAAATGTGAAAATAGAATTGTTTTATTTTTATATTTAATCTTTGCCGAGTTATAAATAGCATTTCTTTTCATTGTTCTAAGCTAAAATTCCAAATATCAAAGATTAAATCGAAACTTTATAACGTGTATGGATTGCTAGAGAAAGATAGATACAAGTGAAATACGAATCACAGACCATCTAGAAACACGAAATTTAACTTCGGTCTCTTCCATTAATCAGACTTTCCTTTCAGAATGCAATCCTCGATGTTAAGACAGAAAACTAATATAAAATTCCGATAAAACAGATTAGAAACTAAAACATTTTAATCAGATAACTCAAATTTTAAAGTTTAGAAAAGAGATTATATCATCAATTAATTGTCAAATTTCCTTAAAATCGAACTGAAAGTGTGGCATTTAAATAAATGACCAAGACAAATAAAGAAATTTCCTGTGTTAAATTTTTTTTTTATTTTCTTTAGNCAGCCCTGTTTCAAGCATGTGACGATCTGCTAAAAGATTTCTATTTTTCTGTCTCCAAGGCAGACGTTGTTTGTTTTTATTAAGTTATGGCAACACAACACTTGGGCGATCTGCCTAGAGGGATGCCTTCTGGAAGGTCGTTTTAAGTGTAACTGGCCCCTATTCGTTACAGACGTAGAGAAATTCGGTAAAATCCATGTGTTCAGCCCCTCCTACACCATGTGAGATCGTTATACGAAAGTGAAAATGGCTAACGGATATGCTATTCCGATCATTGTTCCGTTAAACTGTTGCAGGCTTCTATTTTGTTCCTGCGTCCTATATCGCTATAACACAAAAGTTAACTGTAACACGTGCAAACTAATTAAGAAGTGATAGAATGAAGGTTAGCCATTAACAAGAAGTTAGTCACCAGATATTGACTGTAGCACACCTCCTTCATAACGCTGCACCTTGTAGTAATGCCATCTTCAAAGTCCATCTTCCTACTGTAATGTAACTCTACCTTGTAGCGTTATGAAGCCGTCTAATGCCTTTTTCCTCTGCACCCATTTAATGTTCACTGATCGTACCTTTATAGCAGTTTGTTTGTCTTGTATAATTTTAAGTATTATAACCTTTTTATATTTATACCAACCGAAGAGAGATTATTCCGATAGTCCAAAATGCGTGTTAATTGCTCATATAATCGAGTTTTAATATACAGTACATCACTTTTGTTTTATTAAATGTACTACATTGATACCTGAGTGTTTGTGCTTATTATCACTGGTGTGATAAGTCCTTATTATCTACCCAACATTAGTAGATATTTAATTAATTAAATTAAATCAAGGGCTAAAAGCAATTCTTAATAATAA